GTGAGCTCAGGATCTTACTATACTTCTGTCTTGAACCTTTCCTCCACATCTGTATTCTTAAGAGATACTGATCTGTAGTTTTCTTTTGATGTCTTTGTCAGGTTTTGGTATCAGGGTATAATGCTGGCCTCAAAGAATGAGCTAGGAAATGTCTATGCCCATTCTGTCTTCTGGGAGGCTTTTCAAAAGATGGGCGGTAATTCTTCTTTAAACATTGTGGTAGAGTTCACCAGTGGAGCCATCTGGTTCTAGGCTTTTCTTTGTGGGAACTTCTTATTACTATTCTTTTCTTTTTACTTGCATATGTCTGTTAGATTTTCTGTTTCTTCTTGAGCCAGTGTCAATATTTTTTATTTTTCAGGACTTTGTGCATATCATCTTAGTGATCTAACTTGTCGATGTACATTTGTTCATATGATTCCCTTATAATCCTTTTGGCTTCATTAAGTTTGTTAGTTTGGTAGTCATGGGTCCTCTTTCATTCCTGATTTTAGATGTTTGAGCCTTTATTTTGATCAATCTAGCTGAAGTTTGTTAATTTTATTGATCTTCTCAAAGAACTCACTTTTGGGGGTGCCTGGGTGGCTCAGTTGGTTAAGCAGCTGCCTTCGGCTCGGGTCATGATCCTGGAGTCCCAGGATCAAGTCCCACATCAGGTTTCCTGCTTGGCAGGAAGTCTGCTTCTCCTGATGACCTCTCTCCTCTCATGCTCTTTCTCTCTCATTCTCTCTCTCTCTCTCAAATAAATAAAATCTTTAAAAAAAAAAAAAAAGAACCCACTTTTGATTTTGCTGATTCTTTTTTATTGTTTTTCTGCATTTCTATTTATTTCCACTTCAATCTTTAGGATTCCCATCCTTCTGCTTGCTTTTGATTTGATTGCTCTTTTTATGTTTTCTTAAAGTGGAAAGTTAGATTATTCACTTGAGAACTTTCTTTTTTGACATACATGTTTACAGACATAAATTTTCATATTAGTACTACTTTCGCTGCATCCTGTAAGTTTTGGTATGTTTTCATTTTCATTCATCTATATTTTTAAATCTCCTTGCAACTTCTTTGATCCATTGGTGCATTTAGGAAGAGTGTTTTTTCTGCTCTTTTGGAGTGCTCTGTATATGTCTGTTGGGTCTAGTCCGCTTATAGTGTCCTTCAAGTCCTCTGTTTCCATGTTGATCTCCTGTATAGTTTTGTCAGTTACTGAAAATGAAAGACTGAAGTCTCCCTTGGTCCCTGAATGGTACGTTTCTGCTTCCACTTCTGTCAGTTTTTGCTTTATGTATTTTGAGGCTCTGTTTTTAAGTACAAATGAATTTGTAATGGTTATCAAATCCTTTTGATAGATTGACTCGTGGCATTATGGAATGTTTCTCTCTGTTGCTAATGCAATTGTAATCCGCACGTCTTTTATGTCTGATACTAGTATGGCTACTTTGACTCTTCTCGTTCCTGTTTGCATGGTGTACCTTCTCCACCCTTCTGCTTTCAGCCTCTTTGTGTCTTTATCAGTCCTCTTTATTCATGTGGATTTGAGTTATTATCTGATGTCTTTTTTTTTAAGATTTTATTTACTTATTTGTCAGAGAGAGAGAGCACAAGCAGGGGGAGAAGCAGGCAGAGGGAGAGGAAAAAGCAGAGACTCCCCACTGAGCAGAGAGCCCGATGCGGGACTCGATCCCAGGACCCTGAGATCATGACCCGAGCCAAAGGCAGACGCTTCATCGACTGAGCCACCCAGGTGTCCCTATCCGATGTGTCTTTTCATCTCAGTCCGAAGACATACCATTAGTGTTTTTTGTGAAGTATATGTTTGGGACACATTCAGTTTTTATTTGTCTGGAATTGTCTTAGTTTCCCCATTTTGAAAGGATGCTTTTATGTAGAATTTTTGACTGGCAGTCTTTTTCTTTTATTACTTTAAATATGTCATCCCAAATTTTAAAAAAAACAAAATATGTCATCCCACTGCGTCTGGCCTTCATGGTTTCTGATGAGGACTCAGCTGTTAATCTTGTCGCCCAGCTCCTGCACAAGACAAATCTGTTGTCTCTTGCTTACTGCAGGTTTGTCTTTTATCCACTGAGACATAATTGGCATACAGTATTCTATTAGTCTCACACAACATAATGATTCAGTTGTTTGTGTATCTTGTGAAATGATCACAGGTTTAGTTAGGATCCATCATCACATAGTAATTTTTTTCCTTAGGAAGAGAACTTTGAAGATCTTTCTTAACCATGAGAGTCTCTTAACTCTAAGAAACAGAGTTGTTGGGGGCAGGGGCGGATGGGAAAACTGGGTGATGGGCATTAAGTAGGGCACATGATATGATGAGCACTGAGTGTTACATGCAGCTGGTGAATTACCTCTACATCTGAAACCAATTGTGTACTGTATGTTGGTTAATTAAATTAAAAAGGTCTGTCTTAGCAACTTTCAAATATATAATACAATATTACTAACTGTAGTCACCATGCTGTTCATTACATCCCCATGACCTACTTATTTTATAACTGGAAATGTGTTGCCTTTTGACCACTTTTAACCATTTCTCCCACCCTCTTTGTCTTTGGGTGTCTTTCCCTCTCCTCTCCTCTGGGACCCCCCCCCCAATATGCAGATGTTGGTTTGCTTCATTGTGTCCCACAGGCTGTCAAAGCTCTATTCATTTCCTCTTTCTGGTTTTCAGACTGGACAGTCTCAGTTGACATTATCTTCAAATTTGCTGATTCCTTCATCTGTTTGCCCAAATCTGTTGTTGAGCCTGTCTGGTGAATTTTTCATTACAGTTACTGTGCTTCTCAACTCCAGAATTTCTCTGTAGTTCTTTTTTAAAATTTCTCTTCAGTGACATTCATGTTTGCTGAGACAATGTCTTCATGCTTTGCTTTTGAGTTCTTGCAATATGGTTTCATTTAGTTGTTTTAATACAAGCATAACATCTGATTTAATGTCTTTGTCTAAGAGGATCGCTATCTCCGCTTCCTCGGGGACAGTGTCTATGGGACTGTTCCTCACCCCCATATATGGGTCATGCTTTCTTCTTTCCTTGGAAGTTTCATGATTTTCTCTTGAAACTGGACATGTTAAGTAATATATTCTGTCAGCTTTAGAAATCGTATTCCCTCCGTATGGTGTTTTTATTATTGTTTGTATAGTGCCTTTTCTGAACTGTGTAAAGTTTGTAGTCTTTGCTAGTTTGGCTTAGTGATCATCTCGTGATGGGACAGATAGCTCCTTCGATGCCTTTGACAAGTGGTCCCATGTGTGTGAGATAGAAGGCTCCATGCCTTGACTACTCAGCCCAGCAGCTTACAGCTCTGTCTCAGCCTTTCCTTCCTCCTTCTGCGGAGCCTCAAGGCAGCCAATGGCCAGAGCTTAGAGCTTTTCAGGTCCTTCCCAATCATGCATAAGGCACAGGGCGTACACATATCCCTCTATGTAGACATGACCTTCTGGATTCCCAGGACTCTGTCAGAACTTGTTCATTTTCTTCCTGTTGCTCCTCTGGGGTGGTCCTGGGACAACGACCTACCTACTGTGGTAGTTCGGCATTCATTGCCTTGGCCATGTCATGATTCTAAACAAAAGATGCTATTGAGGCGCCTAGGTGGCTCAGTGGGTTAAACAAAAGATGCTATTAATACCTACACTCCACCTTTTAACAAGTTCATGGTATTATACAGTAAGTAGCCTCAGTCCATCCTGTGTGTCCATTCCACGCATAATCTGGACATGTCAGAAATCTGCCTGATGGCGGAATCCCCTCAGAAGCTTTTTATGATCTCAGATACGGGGCTCTGCTCACCCAGTTTGAAGATGATCTACAGGACACAACCAGACACCTGCTAGGATGGCTACAGTTAAAAAGACTGACAATTCCAAATCATTTTGAGGATGGGAGCTCTCCTGGAATTTTGTAGGCTAGTGGTGGGAACATAACACGATACAAGCACCTTGGGAAAGTTTCAGTTTTTTATGAAGCCAAGTCTGCATTTATGATTACAACCCAGCAATTCCACTCCTAGATATTTACCCAGGAGAAATGAGGACATCTGTTCACACCAAGATTTGTTATAAATATTCTTAAACAGCTTTATTCGTAATAGCCAAAAATCAAAAGAATCCAAGGGACCATTAACAGGAGATTAGAGAAACAAAGAATGGTGTGTCCGTACAGTGGGATTCCATGCACCAGTAATAGGAACATGCTACTGAGACACAGGACAAGATGGGAAATCACAAAAACATGCTGAGCAGAAGCACCTAGGCACAAGAGAGAACATTCCAGAAACAGCAAAACTGTGGTGACAGAAAGCAGGTCAGTGGTCGCCTGAGCCAGCAGTGGAGGGGCACAAGGATCTTTGGGACGGGATGGAAATGTCCTGTCTCTTCATTGTGGTGGGGGCACCACGGGTATACGTATTTGTCTCATCACACTGAACTATATGCGCTCGCTGTAGATATTTGCAGCTTATTGTATGTAAACTCTACTTCAGTGAAGTTTTCTTTTTAAATATAGTTTTAAAAAATTAAAAAGATGGTCTGCAAGAGACACCCTTACTCTTTCCTCTCTGTGACACAGGTCCCCCTTTGGACACCTGCAGGGTCCGCGGGAGGAAGGGTACCAGAGCTCCCAGGTGTCCGGAGGGGACATCTCCCCCCGCCGCCCCCCCAACCTTATAGCCTCTCAGCGGAAGGCAGCTCTGTAGGAATGCACAGTACACCCTCTCCTCCAATTCTGCCTCTTGAGGCTCTTTCTATACCCCTTGGGGTGGCTTCCCTGAGTCCCAGTCACATTGGCACTGGGAAAGGCGAGAGGATAGCCCGTGGGGGCTTCGGGAGAACCCCGTCTATCCCCAAGTACTCGGAGTTCTGTGGGCTTCAGGCCTGTGCCTGTCACTGCCCTTGGAATGTGTGTGGCCTTCTGCAGCCCTCACGTTCCTGGAGCAGGGCCCACTTCTCTGGGCCTCTGACCCGCCCTTTGTCCCCTGACTCAGTTTGGGGGCAGCCCGGTGTCCTGCGCCGTGGGCCTGGCCGTCCTGGACGTTCTAGAGAAGGAGCAGCTGTGGGCTCATGCTGCCTCTGTGGGAAGTGTCCTCATGGAGCTCCTCCAACAGCAGAAAGCCAAGCATCCCATCATCGGGGACATCAGGTAGGCTTGGGCAGCACTCCTTACCTGCTAACTGAACACCAGCCCGGGGCCAAGCATGGTTTCATCACCTCATTGTCACCCAGGGTGGTGGGGACTTTTCTCTCCACAGAGGAGGAACTAAAGCTCTGAGGGGTGCTGCTGCCCGAGATGGCGCTTCTAGGGAAGGAGATACCAGGGGCAGACGGCCCTGGCCCCCGACTTTTCCTCTGTCACAGCTGGGGCCCCTCTCCTCAAAGTCACTTTCTGGCACTGGGTCACCACCCTCCACCCTCCGAGGGTTGTGCAGCCCTCAGGCTCCCCAGGAAGCGGAGGCACAGGACTGGTGCTTTGGGCAGGCCCAGCCAGAGGGGGAGAGCAAGGGCCCACGGCCCTTCCGGCCTGGCTTCCTAAGATGTCGCCTTTCCGTTCCAGGGGCATCGGGCTCTTTATTGGTGTGGACCTGATCAAAGACACAGCGACCAGGACACCAGCAACTGAGGAGGCGAACTACGTGGTGTCCAGGTACTATTTCTCGAACCGAGTTGCCTCTGCAACGTCCCCTGACTGGGAAGGAGCTGCTGTCCTGCTTTTGCCATTGCCACTGTGTCCCTGGGCCCTCAGGGCCACAGAGGGCTGCCTGCAGGAGTTGGCATCGGGGCCAGAGCGGGGAAGGGGCCCCCCTTCTGGGTACCCCCACCCCGACACCACACACTGATAAAGTGGCCAGGTCCGCTTGGTGGCCAGTGCCTGGCGGCAGGGCCTCGGATGGGTGTGGGCCGTTCCCAGCAGAGGATGCGAGCGCCACAGGGGCTCAGAGACCATAACGCCACATCCCACAGCGCCCGGCTGGCGGGAAGCCGCTACTTTCACGGCCATGCCAGGGCCCGTGGCAGAGCCAGACTTGGGGCTCCCCGTGGGCACAGCAGCCGGTTTTCTTTGGTACGGACAGGCTTCCTGCTCCTTGTCTGGGTGAGGGCATCTGGAGGACCCCACCCCTGCCCCAGGGAATAAATGAGAGAGAATGGAAGTCTGGGTCAGAATGTAAATACAATCACCTCAGACCCTTTCTTTCTGGTCAAGGGACCTTCCCAGGTTGAAGTGCAAACGTGGACTGTTAATGTCCTTAGGTACCACTACTATTAAGGAGGTGAAGCTATCTTCCTAGAAAGAACTGGAAATGAAAACTGCGGAGTCCTCTGAGATGTCCAGATGACTCGGGGGCAGGAAGCAGAACCGGGGCTGGCAGAGAAGTCCCTGGAGCCAGGGAGGGGGCACAGGGGTTCGCTGTACCAGCCCGGCAGCATCGGTGCGGTGCAGGAATGCTGGCTGGCCACGGCCTAGCCGCGGCCTGTTTTGGCTCAGGCCGGGACTCCAGGGCTGGATGAGTGGAGGCCCCTGCGTGGGGTAGGGGTGGGGATGGAGGGTGGCGGGCTCAGGGCCAGGTGCAGGGCACCCCACACAGGAGCCCTTAGTGCTGGGTGAACAAGGACAGGCAGGCAGGCAGTTCGGGAGGAGGTGGCCAGTGCTGTGTCCCTGCGGGACCTGGACTGGGGTGGGGCTCCCAGGGGCCGGTTGGCTGAAGCCAGGACAGATTTTGAGGCTCTGTGAAGGGTTCCCTGGCTGCTGGGCCACAGGGCCTTGCCGTGTCCTATCCTCACAGGCTGAAAGAGAGCTACATTTTGCTGAGCACAGACGGCCCTGGGCGGAACGTCCTGAAATTTAAACCCCCAATGTGCTTCAGTGAGGACAACGCGCGACACGTGGTGGCAAAGATGGATACCATCCTGACAGGTGAGCTGGGGGCCCAAGGAGCAGCTGACCAGGTCTCTTGAGCCCCACCTGCGGCCAGGAGCGAGGACCTTCCAGGATGCCTGGGAAGGAGACTCCACGGTGAGCCAGGAGTCTTCGAGACCGCGCAGGGAACAAGGAGCTGTGGCGTGGAGGGGCTTCCTGAGCCCGGAGTAGCCATCCTGCCTGAGTAGCACCAGCGTGGACGCGAGGCAAGGCAATCACCTAGTGACACAGCAGGGATTTATGTGGCGGGAACATTGTGCCTTCCTTGAAGGCTAGTGTCCCCCTCAGCAGCTAAGGTGCTGGACTGAGATTTGTACCCAGGACTGATGAAGTGCAAAAGGAAATTCTTCCCTAGGTTTCCAGCCCCCTAGGAATGTGGATCAGTGTGGGGTCTGCCCTAAACGCACTCACCAGGCCACCTGGAACAACGGAAGCGGACAGGTCTCTGCTATGCTGCATGGGCAGGGGTGGGCAGTGGGCAAAGTCCCACCTCCTGGCAGGCACCCCTCCCTCTCCTCCATCTCTGCAGATGGGTTCCCTGGAGGAAGGAGGGTGTCTGCGGGGAGCCCGCGGGAGGAGAGGCTGAGCAGGCACAGACTTGCCTTTACTTTCCTGAGCAGAGGGACTGCCATTGAGCCTGAATGTTTGGGGCAACCTGACTGACGTCTGGCTTTGTCCTTTTGGGAGTGTTGCTGACCCTGTGGTTTGTGCATATGGTCAAGGGGCTGGACAAGGAGTCCAAGAAGCTTGGATGCTAGAGAAAGGCTAAGCACTTGGGGGGGGGGGGGGGGCTTCTGTGCTGTTTTTCAGACATGGAAAAAAAGGTGAGAAGTTGTGAGACACTGAGGCTCCAGCCCTGAATCTGCCCTGGCACTCGCGTCCTCCTTCCTTGGGTGAGTAGGCCTTGCTCCTCATGACCCATGGCCATGGCCCTCACCCTCAGCAAGCCAAACCTCGCTCCTCACCAGGTTTTCTTCAGAAACATCTCGCCATAGCTGCGGGGGAAGGCAGGACTAGCGCCTTCCTCCCCAAGCCAGTTCTCCTTCTAGAAGGAATGGAAAACAAGTCTTTGCTAGTCTGAGGGCTCAACCACCAGCCCTGGGGCGCCCCAGTCCAGCCAGCAGCTCAACTCTGCCACAGGGGCCAAAACTGTTCTGGGCCACCCAGGAGGGGGCACTTTGTGTCCAGTCCAGCTGGCCCCTAAGATACTGCCTTCCTGGGTACATTCCCACTGTCCTCCGCTAGGAGACCAAGTCCCACTTCTGGGTGCCCAGGAGAGACTGGAGTCTGCAGCTGCCGCAGCCCCCATTGCTCTGGGAGCAGCACCCCTCACGGTACCTCCTTCACCCCCTTGAAGCTGCCTCCAGTCAGAAGTCCTTTAAAACTTCCTCTAAAAGGGCTCAAGTCCTAGGCAGGCCCCATCCTTACAAGCAGCGCCCCAGCAGTGCCCGGCGTCCAGGCTCCACCTGCCAGGACTGCTGTCCGGTCATGGACGCACTAAAGCTTCGAAGGTTCAGGAGTGCCTGGCCCTTCCCCGTTCTTCACAGCATGCCCCACACTCACCCAGGCTTTGGGGGTTTTTAAATTTTTATTTCAAAAGCTTGGATAGCTTCAATATCCAGGTCGTGGCAAAATCAGGACACGTGTAAAATACCTTACAATACATTAGATTCCCAAAAGGTACCAAAAAGTACAGTAAAATTAACACTTCCATTAACAGGAAATGTATGACACAAATAATATAAAATTAAAAGGTGAAAAAAAGGTGACACTGGTTTCCTAAGATACAGTTTACTCTTTACAACCAGGGTCCACAGGTCCAGGCTGCGGGCAGTGGCGGGCAGCGGACCCTCCCAGCCGGCCCTGGGGGACCTGGGCCTAAAACTAGCCCTCCAACGCCGCCCTGGCCTCAGAGACCCCCACACGCTGCCTACGACAACTAGAGCTCTGGAAATAGTCAACAGGAGAGTGATTTCCAAGGGGGAGATTTTTAAATAAGATGCACATGGGACAGGCCATAGAAAGTACGCCAGGTTAAATTTGGTACATAATTGTGTTCACTCGAGATCCGGACAGAGCGTGTGCGGGTGGGCGTCCGGCCGCGGCCTCAGTACGGCTTGTAGTTGTTCTGGTGGCCGCCGCGGCGCTGGCTCTTCCCGTAGTTCGTGCCACCCTGACCTGGGGACGAGAAGGCCATGCATGGGTCGCAATGCCGTCTGCCCGAGCCCTCCCAGAGCCAGGCGCCTGCTGTACCGCCACACAGGAGCCCGCACCCCTGGCCAGCACAGAGGGGGCCGCGCCCCGCCTTCCTGAGGCCCAGAGGCTCAAGTGCCTCTTCCCATGGTGGCCGCGCCGGGCCCCCAAGCCCAGCCTGTCCGACTCCAAAGCCCCTGCTGCCAGTGGCCCCTGCACTGTCTGTCCTGCCTCCCAGGGTTGGGGGTGAGCGGCCAGGGCCTCCCTCTCTCCTACTTACTGTAGTCGTAGCCGGGGCCGTAGCCGTAATAGCCATAGGGCGAGTAGTCGTAGCCGCCATAGCCGGGCCCGTAGCCCTGCTGGTAGCCGTAGCCCTGGTTCCAGTAGCTGCCGTAGCCCTGATTCCAACTCTGACTCTGACCTGTGGGGGGAGCAGGGCCCAGGGGCCCAGGGACCATTTAGCACACGCAGGAGCGAGGATGGAGGAAATCCTGCCCTTCGGGTGGCGGGCTCACTATGGTAACTCAGGTAGAAACCAGGGGGCTGCTGCCTGGTGTCAGCGGCCCTGGACCCCGCCCTGCATCTGAGGCCCAAGCTGGGGCTCTGAGGGCCAAGAGGGCCCTGCCGGCTAACTGCACTTGGGGCAAATAAGCGGGAGCTCACTCTCTCACATCTCCCTCTCCTCACCCCCACACTCCCTGGCAGCTCGGCTCTAAAAAGGAGGACATTCAGGCTTTGGAGTCCGAGGGGCCTGGACAGAAGGAGGTAAAGCGCCCGGCACAGCCCTGCCCTACCTTCTGCCCACCCGCCCACGGGTATACCGAGACTCAGGCCCGCCACCCAGCCCAGCGCGCCCCCCAAGCCGGCCACCCCCGCACCCTGACTGCAATGCAAAAGCCCCTCTGCCCTGGGGCCCCAGGCCACAAGAGCCAGGCTCTTCCACACCAAGCAGCAGCCACAGCGGCGCCAACATGACCCGCCCGGCCTGGTGCACCAAACGCCGGAGGCCAGCGAGAACTCCCCCAGACAGGCACGGGGGCTCCATGCAGGCAGGGCCCCGTCTTTGCTCAGCCAGGTTCCACTCACCTCCGCTGCCGCCACCGCCGCCGCTGCCTCGGTTCCCTCGGCTGCGGTTCCCACGGCCCCCAGAGCCGTACTGCTGCTGCTGATAGACTTCTTTGGGCTGGGCCACCTTGATCTCACACTGCCAGAAGAGATGACAATGGGTCAGACCGCTACGACAAGCTTGGGACAGGGCCATGGACAAAGACCTTTGCTGATGGAGACTCAGATGGCCCGTGGGGACTAAATGCTCAATATAAAATCTGCCTGGGGCACCTGGGGGACGCAGGTGAAGCGTCCCGACTCTTGCTTTGGGCTCAGGTTATGATCTCAGGGTCAGGCAATTGAGTCCTGCATGGGGCTACCTGCGGAGCGAAATCTGCTAAAGTTTCTCCCTCCCCCCAACACGCGTGTGCACTCAGTCTCTAAAATAAAATCAATCTTTTATTAAAAAATTCAAAATGAAACATGCTTAAGTGGAAGCCACATTTGGGCTAAAAACTCTCGGGACCACAACTAAAATCTCTGGATCAGGACTCACTAGGGCCTTTGGGCCAAAACCTTTCCCCAGAGAACTTACTGGGGTGACAGCTGTAATTCCAGGCCTGCTGATGGCAGCCCGGATCAAACAACTGGGAGGAGGCACAGCAAGCCTGAGGCCGAGGCCGAGACCAACCCAGCCGAGACCAACCCAGCATAGCCTGATCCCACACCTGGGGGCAGCTCTGAGGCCAGCCCCATCCTCCTGGGAAAGAGGCCTCAAAGCTGGCTTCTCAGATCAGGGGCCTTAGAGAGAAAGAAGTGGGGGGAAACTTTCTAATTTTTTTTTTTCTTTCCTTTACAGAAGAAATGAAGCATCCCACTCCCAACAGGCTGAGGCTGCGCCCCTGACCTCTGGCTTTGAGGAAGGAAGCCACTGAGCCTCAGGGCGGGGCCTCGCTGCTCTCCCCTCCCCTCTCCCAACCACTGGCCTGTTGGTGGGAAGGGCCAGATGTCTGTGTCCTCTGAGGAGCCAAAGAGTTTCCTTTTTGCTCAAAAATCTGCCCACTGCGGATGGGATCAGGGTCAGAGCCTCCCACCCAGTGTTCCTGCCCAAGTCAATCAGAAGTTTACTTTTTAGAGGAAGTACCCTTTGCACATACACTCTCCTAAATACGACCTATAAAATACCGTTTTCTACAATGTGTCACCATCCAAGCATACCCTAACAAACCGGGAAACCTTCCCCAAGTGATTCCATCTGATGTCTTCTGTTTAATTAAAAATGCTGAATACATTTATTTCAAAACCCACCACCAGTAGCAACTGACTACCTTACAGGTACTTCCTGCCATTTCACATTGCGCGGGGGGCGGGGGATGTCACTCACCGTCTAGGGGAACAGCCCTCACCCAGCTGCTGCACCTAGACTTCAACTCATTTGACGTAAAATTTAAGGGCCCAATCCTGCATCCCAGCTAGGATTAAGACTTCCAGAAGCCCCTCCCCCTACCTGTCCCACCTTATCTGGCTGCCGCTGGGCTCAGACCTGCCACACCCAGCCAGCCAGCCACACCCTCAACTGCCTCCTCCGACTCCTGGAGAACACCTGAACCGAAAGACACCCCGACACCCCCCCACCCTACTACTGGCCAGAGTTCAGAGGGAAGAGCTGGCACTTCTCACCGTGAGGCACCGCTCTCTTAGGCAAAACTGACCACGGACACACGCGGACTAAAACCTGGGAGCTTTGGAAGAACCCTCATCTGAGGTGGGAACAGACTAAACCAACATCCAGAGCCAGAGCAGGTGGAAGCAAAAGATCTGGCTGTGACAGGAGAGAGGAAAAAGCTCCACAGGAGGAACAACTTTACCCAAAGGAAACAAACCCATGAATGACAGAAGTTCTAGAATCTTCTGAGACTTAGTGCAGGCCATATTCACCTTGGACTCAACACCACGACCTCTAGCTTTCAGTCAGGAATCAAAGGGGCTACTGAACATATTCTAGCCCAGAGAAAAGACCCTTTCTCCTGCCTCCCACACATCCTGGGTTTCTGCCAAGTCTACCAGCCCAGAACTCCCTGAAGGACGGGATCATCTGCCCCAATCTGAATAGCAGGCACTGCAAACAGCCAGCAGGGTCAGACTGCCCCGGAGAGGTAGCCCAACTCCTGAGGCACACCTGTAAGAGCCAGCTCTCCACCAACAGAAGGCCAGATACAGAGCTGGAGACACCTTACCTTACTGCCACTGATGGTATGGAACTTTTTCTCCAGAACTTTCTTCACAGGTTCCTCTTCTTTAAAAGTGATGAAAACAAAACCTCGTCTTTTGTTCAACTTTGGATCCATTGGAAGCTCAATGGCCTCAATCTGTAAACATAGGCAAAGCTCAGAACCAATGCCTCTTCCCACCCCCAGGGCCTACAGGGAACTCTGAGGAGAAAAGACCCAAGAAGGCCAGAATGAAAAAGCCTCAGAGAGAGCTATAGCCAGCCAAGGCTGCCTAGGACCAGGGAGAGCAACCTCAGGGCCATCAGCAGGCAACTCCCAGGGTTCCACACTCACCTCCCCGAACTCTCGAAAGTACTCCCTGATCTTCTCCTCAGTGGCTTCAGGATTCAGACCCCCCACAAAAATTTTCTTTACGGGGTCCTTCTTCATGGCCATGGCCTTTTTGGGATCAATGACACGGCCATCCAGCCTGTGTTCCTTCTGGTCTAGGACCTGTCCCAACAGAAGAAAATGAGCTTCAAACTCAACAGCACCACCTTCAACAAGCCCCTTCTCTTTGAGCCATGAAGACCCCAACACTGGTACACGAAGTGTTTGACCCGGCCCCCATACTCCACTCCTACGTGACTTAGCAACACAACTTCATCTCCAAACTTCCAAGTACAGCTAGCTTATCTGAGCCCCTAGACACCTCCCCCAACTCCCCCCCACCCCACTGCTTTCCCAGAGAGCATGGGCTCAGTTTAAAGCCTCTCTTTCACAAGTTAAGCAGCAGTGAGGCAGGCTGGAGGTGGGCTGCTAGGGTTGGAATCCAGCCCTTTCTGGCTCTGAGCTCTTTCTACTTATACTTCTGGGCCTTTGTTTTGTTTTCTGTAACAGACCTAAAATACCTAGTTCATTCATAGCAACCTTGGACTCTATTCTAGTCCTCAGGATAAAGGATCTGCTTTAATCAGTGCCCAGAAGTGACACCAAAAAAGCAATAAACACCAACTATAATCTTCCTGGGCCCACTTAATTTGTATTTTTTAATCCCCTCAAAAACAAAACAGAGTTCCTCACCTCTGCTTTTCCCAAAGCCCTCAAGCACCTACAGAACACGCAAACTTATCGCGCTCTCAGAACCCTATGCTAGAACAAACTTCATGCCGCTGACATCAAGCGCCCAGCTTACCTTCTCCACACTGGCTGCATCTTTGAAGAGGATAAACCCAAACCCTCTTGACCGGCCAGTGTTGGGATCCATTTTTATTGTACAATCAACGACCTCTCCAAATTTGGTAAAGTAATCCTTTAGGTCTTTTTTGCTGGTATCCCAGCTCAGGCCACCAACGAACATTTTTCTGAAATGGTAAAGACACACGTGCCAACGAGCCTTACAACAGCGCTGTGATGTTGGGACCGGCCCTGACACCACCACCTTCAGTGCTAGCGGGTAAGCAAAGCCGCCATCCCGAACGCGGGTCTGCCCTGAGAGCCCCCGAGGGGCCTACGTTGGGGAAGTGTCAACCAATCTTGACTCCCCTCCCACACAGCCCTGAGCCACGAGAAGCTCTAGGCGGTGCAGTCCCAGACGGGGCGGCGGAAGGGAGGGCACCGCGGCCTGGGGCAGAAGCCCGGAACCTTCACAACTGGAAGTCATCCGCCTAACAAGCAAGTCAAGACAGAAGGCCGCCGGCCCGGCCCGTCCTCACCGCCCCCTGAGAGCTCGCTCTCCAGGAACTCGGGCTTCCGGGGGCCTGAGACCGCGTTCAGACCGTGACTCCGCCCTCCGCGAAGTGGGGGGCGGGGGGAGGGCCACGGCCGGGGCGCGCGCCAACTCCGCCCACGCAGCCCCGCGGAGCCCTAGGCCGGCTCGGCCCCAGGTCCGAGCGCACTCCCCCTTCCCGGCCGCCCGCCCCCCGGCCCCGCGCGAGCGGCCCTAGGGCGGCGCCAAAGTCGACCCAACAAACTCCTGCAAACTCCGGCGCTAGCGGCGGCGCGACGGGCGGCTGGCGCGGAGGGGCAGGGCGGCGGGCCGCGAGCAGGCCCCGGCCGCCCGCCCGCCCCTCCCCCCGCCGCGTGGCGCCAACAAAAGGCGGCCCCGGAACAAAGGCGGCGCCCGGGTCGGCCCGCGACCGAACCTACCCCGCGTCCTCCTCGTTCTTGCTGGCGTTGATCTGGTCACCCTCGGCACCATTCTGGTTGCCGGCCGGGGGCGCCGAGCTCCCGCCTCCAGCGCTCGCCGCGGCCCCGGTGCCGGCCCCCGCCGGCGACTCGCCTTCGGGGGCGGCCTCGTGTCCGTTCTCGGTGGCGCCCGTGGTCTCCATGGGCTGCTCCTCACCCGCTTCCGACATGCTAGGCCGGGGCGCGGCGGCTCCTGCAACGAGTGGCCCTAGCGCGTCAGGCCCGCGCGGCTCCCGCCCAGGCTTCCCCCCGCCCGCCGCCCGCGGGCCCGGCCGCTCACCTCGCCGCCGATGACGCCGCGGGGCCCGCTCGTCCCCACCCGCCGGAAAGGCGCCGCGGGCTCGGCCGCGCTCACGCCCGCGCTGCCGCGCCTCGCCTCCGTCCGCCGACGGAGCCGCCGCGACCTCGCGCCCTCCTTCGCCGCCGCGCCGCACGGAGCCCACCGACCAACAGGCTCGCCGGAACCCGCGCGGTGCCGCCGCCTGACAATGCCGACTCGTGGCGCTCTTTATAATGCCGGGGCCGGGCGCACCTCGCAACAAGGCGCGTGCTCATTGGCTGCGCTTGCCCGTCACTCAACCCCGCGCCGGGGCCCCATTGGCCGAAGCGGCGCGCGCACGCTAAATCCGGGCGGGCTTTGTCCTCATTTTAGAACCCGCGCGAGCCAGGGCCGGGCGGACGGCTGCCGGAGCCGGGTGCGACCATAGTCTCCTCCTGAGCAGCGCCGGCAGCCGGAACCCCGCGGCCGAGGGGCCGGAGACCTCCCCTCTCCGCCCCATGAGGCCGCAGTCTCTCGTCCCGGAGCGCCCCATCCCAGCATCGGTAGCTTCGCGCACTCCGTTCTCCCAAAAGAGGAAATTGGGCTCTAGGAAGTCTCGCAAACCAAGGTCGCCCGGCTGGAAGTGGGAGAACTCGGCGGCCGAGATCGGGCGCGCAGGGTTCCGCCGAGGTCCGCGGCACCGCTCGAAGGGACCGGGACGCGGCCCGCCCTCCCCCTTGACCTTGGTGCCCTCACGGCCCCGCGCTCCCGCCCTTTCTGCCGCCTCCCCCAGCGGCTAGCAGCGGAGAAGGGGTGGAGCCTGCCGGGCGTCTGGTGCCAATGGTGCTCCGGCAGGATGTGGCGGGAGAAACGGTGGCACCGCGGTGTTCCCCGATCCAGGTCGTCCGGCACCACCTAGACGATCAGCCTCGTTGTCACACTTTGGGTTGACGTTTTTCGTTTGAGTTAGTTCCTGTATTCCTCCTGAAATTTCTTTTTAAGGAAAATATACCGCGTCCCTCAGATCATGAAGTTGGAGGCGGAGAGGGATGGTTCTCGTTTTCTAATATACAAACCCCCTCTGTTTGATCTTGATCACCAAGCTTGAAAGGCCGGCGTAATCCCATGATTCCTTTTAATCGTGACCGGCCCCCACATGGACCAGGATTACAACCTCTGAAGCCTGGGGATTACCAGATAGCAAGAGCACACAAGTGGCTGACGTTTCCCGCCGAGTTCCTGCAGCCAGGCCCGGTGTGGGGGACTGGGGGTTCTATTTCCTCATCTGGTCTCCTAACAACCCAATGGAAGGCGATACCATCACAAACTTATAAAAGAGAAAACTGAAGCCCAGAGCGCTGGCCTAATAAGGCTCACTCCCGAATCCCGCCAGCCAGTGAAGTTGCAGAGGGATGAAAACTCTGACCGTTTCACATTCGGAAAAAACAATTGACTACAGAAAACGGGAAGATTTGGCCACACAGTGCTGCCTTCCCCCAAGGTCTCCATCGGCCAGAGCAGGGGCACCCACCCTCCAGGGGGGGCGCAAATACCCTCCGGTTTACCCCAAGGCCCACCTGACTGTGTCACTTCCAGGCCAGATTCCACAATTGAAACTCAGTATCTCCATAAAACTGGGGTCATGTCACTG